TGACAATAAACGAATCCTTTGAATATCTGCAGTAGAGGTGAAGTGCTACTCCACTCAATTCATTCAGCAAACGTTTGTTAGATGTCCTGAGGCACTAGGAATACAGTAGTGAGAAAATAAGACCAAAATTACTACTTTCCTAGAACTTACTTTCTAGTTGGAGTGGAGAAAAGTTACACAATAACTAAAATATATATTGCATAATAGTGGTAAATACTTAGGAGGAAAATAAAGCAGGAAATGTGGAAGGGAAGTTAAAAATGTAGAGTGATTAGGGAAGAACTTCCTGGGAGGGTGACTTTTAGTAAAAATTTAAAGAAAGTGCCAGTGCATGCTCCTAAAGGAAAAACATTCCAGACAATACGTACAAAGGCCCTGAGGCAGGAGTTTCAAGGCACAGCAAAGAAGCCATCCTGGCTGGGCAGAAGGGGATGAGAGAAATAAGGGTGAAGAGGGCTGACTACAAAGCCCTAGAGGTCACAGTTAAGAGACAGGAGGTGATTAGGGTTCTGAGCAGAGGAGTGACATGACCCGACTTTGGTTTTAACAGGCTTACTCGGGCTGTACTGGGCAGAAAGGACAGAGGAGGAAGAGGAGCTATTTGTTTTAAAGAGCAGAGCCTGGAGTTTGCAGTTTTTACAAGCTCCCTAAGGGATTTTTATGCACAGTAAGAGCTGGTGCCTTACATTATCTAAGCAACTGAGACAAAAGTTGATTATATGATCTGATTATTTCATAATCACTAATCCACTGCTTCATTTTGCCTGTAGAGAAATGGGATCTAACCCATAACATCCTGTCAAGGCTGCCATGCAATCTCCAAACTTCAGAAAGTGCTTCAGAAAGAGAACTGCGGAGATCTTGGCCTCCTGTTCCCTGACACGGGACGCCCTGTGAGAGAGCTCCCCACAGAGAGGAAGCGAGGGCTAATGCAATCACACAGCAGCGGGGATTCGAGAGGTCGCAGACAAGTGCTCCATACATAAGTTTCAGGGTTCAGCTGAAATAGAGCATATGAGCAGAAAATTTTCTAAAATTTTTAAAATATCTTTTTAGAGAGAAACAACATGGTGGCGTAGGTAACAGCTGCCCCCGCCGCCTCGCGCAACCACATCAAAATCACAACTAAAATACAGAACCACCGTCACTCAGAACCTCCTGAGATCCGGCTGCACAGAAGCCCCACAACCAGGGAGCTGAAGGAGCACCGAGACCGGGAGGAGGGGCGGAGACGCAGGGGGATCAGGGCTGAATCTCGGAGACACGGCCGCGGGCCCACACCCGGTGCCACGGTTTAAACCCTGGAGGACATCTCGGCAGTGGGGGTTTCCCAGAGGAGCAAGGGGTCCCTGCCCCACAGCAGGCCCCAGCGCAGGGCTCAAGGGCCGGTAAGAGACATCCCCACAACTCCGGGCTGTGAAACCAGCGGGGACTGTCCCCGAGGGTCGCGGAGGCTGCGGGAGCCCCAGCAGCTCCTCTAAAGGGCCCGGCACGGACTCACTCGGACGCTCCCTCTGAGCCCAGCGCCGGGCAGCAGCCTGAAAGGACCCGGGACACTCGGGGAGGAACTAACCTGCCTGAGATCCGGGCGAGAGGCGGAGGGCGGCTTCCTCCCAGGCAGAAGGGCTGGCGGAGGCCATGGCTCCTGTGGCGAGTCCTCCCCGCACACAGCCGGCAGGCAGGCGCCATGTTTGAATCGCCAGCACCTGACTCACACCTTTGGCCCCGCCCCGTGATTCCCGGAGGCCCCGCCCCTCCCCACCTGCAGCTCATCCAGGCCATTTCCAGGGGCTTTTCTGTGCAAGTGGCCTCTCGAGCCTCATGCTTAGGACTTTCCTAAAATCTCTCAAACAAGCAGCAGCGGGCCCCATACGGCTTGATAAGTGGCCCCAGGCCTGGCACTAGCGGCAGCTGCATTGGCTCATAGCTTGGCCTCTCCTGGGCACCTCCAAGCCCAGCACAAGTAGCAGCCAACTACGGTTTGCTGTGTAGCTCATGCTGGGTGGCCCTGGGCAAGGCACTGGCACAGGCTGACTTTGCACCTCCCGGGAGGCCCCAGAGACAGTGCACCTGGTGGTCAGACTCGACCACGCTGGATTACAACCCGACCACATCCACGAGTGACACACTCAAGGGGCGCACTTGGTGAACACCAAAGCTCCACTGAAGTAAATCCTGCTCCATAGGGGTGTCTCCAGCACAGCAGCTCTTTGGCTGTAGTTGCAGCTGGTCCTCACAGCTGATTGGCCTGGGGGTCAATTCCTCCCAGTGACGCCAACAGCAACCAAGGCTCAACTACAACAGGACAGTGCACACAGCCCACACAGGGGAGCACCTAGAAGGCCCAGCTCAGGTGACTGGGGAGGCTGAGCCACTGGACCCTACAGGACACCTACTACACAAAGCCACTCTACAAATTCCAGGAGACATAGCAGCTCTACCTAATACATAGAAACAAACACCTGGAAGCAGCCAAAATGTGGAGGCAAAGAAACATGTCACAAAGGAAAGAACAGAAGAAATCTCTAGAAGAGGAACTAAATGAAATAGATCCAAGCAAGCTAACAGATACAGAGTTCAGAATTTTGTTTATAAGGATGTTTAAGCAGACTATTAGGGAAATAACTGAGAAAATCGATAACATAATAAAGTACCAATTTGAAATGAAGGCTACATGAACTGAAATGAAGAATAATTTACAGGGAATCAACAGTAGAGTAGAGGACGCTGAGAATCAAATCAGCAATTTGGAACATGAGGAAACAAAAAACACCCAACCAGAAGAGCAAAAAGAAAAAAGAATCCAGAAATAGGAAGATAGTATAAGGAGCCTTTGGGACAACTTCAAGAGGCCCAACATTTGTATTACTGGGGTGCCAGAAAGGGAAGAAAGAGAGCAAGAAATTGAAAACCTATTTGAAAAAATAATTACAGAAAACTTCCTCTACCTGGGGAAAGAAACAGACTTACAAGTCCAGGAAGCACAGAGGGTCCCAAACAAGAGGAACCCAAAGAGGCCCACAGCAAGACACATCATAATTAAAATGCCAAAGGTTAAAGACAAAGAGAGAATCTTAAAAGCAGCAAGAGAAAAGCAATTACTTACCTACAAGGGAGCACCCATATGACTGTCAGATGATTTCTCAACAGAAACCTTGCAGGCCAGAAGGGAGTGGCAACAAATATTCAAAGTGATGAAAAACATGCAACTACAACCAAGATTGCTCTACCCAGCAAAGCTATTGTTTAGAACTGAAGGTCAGATAAAAATCCTCACAGATAAGAAGAAGCTAAAGGAGTTCATCACCACCAGACCAGCACTACAGGAAATGTTGAAGGGTCTTCTTTAAGAAGAAGCTAATGAACAAAAGAATCTGACGAAGTAAGTAGATCCAGAGACATTGACGCATGCAACAGAGAATCGTATTTCAGAGGAAAGAGGGGAGGGGGGTGGAAGGTGGGAAGAGATTAACCAAAGAAGTTATATGCATATATGCATAACCCACGGACACAGTCAATGATGGGGTGAAGGCCTGGGGAGGGGGTGGGAGCGAAGTGGAGGGGGTCAATTGGGGGAAAAATGGGACACCTGTAATACTGTCAACAATAAAGATAAATTTTAAAAAATTAAATATATATATATCTTTTTAAAATTTATTCTTAAATGGAAGTCAATGAGCATGTGTGTTTTATTCTAAATACATATACATATATTCTAAATTTTTATTAAAATATATTCTAAATATATATCAAAATAAAATTCATGATTACTACTTTTTTAAAAAAATTCTTATCTAAGGATATGATTTTCTTGATTTGAGAGAGGAAGGGAGATGGAAAGAGAGAGAGAAACATTGATGTGAGAAAGAAACATCAATTGGTTGCCTCCCACAGAGGGATCCCCCCAACCATGGATCAAACCTGCAACCTGGGTGTGTGCCCTGACCAGTAATAGAACCTGTGACCCTTCGGTGCACAGGACAATGCTCCAACCAACTGAGCCACACTGGCCAGGGCCATGATTACTACTTTTTAAATACACTCATAGAAATTGATATTCACAAAATATTAACAATTCTTTCCACGTTTCTTAATGATAACAATTAGCATTTATGTAGAACTTCATAACTGAGATAACAAGACCCCGTTCCATGAACCATACATAAAAATTTCTTTCTACATCATAATCACAGTACATACACCACTATATGTTAACTAGTTCATAACCTATTCAAGAACAGAGACCCTCTTGCCCTAGCCGGTTTGGCCCAGTGGATGAAGCATTAGCACTTGGACTGAAGGGTCCTGGGTTTGATTTTGGCCGAGGGCACAAGCTCAATCCCTGGCCCCAGTCGGGGGGGCACATTCGGGAGGCAACCAATCAATGTGAGATCTCTCTCTCTCTCTCTCTCTTTTCCTTTCACTCTCTCTGAAAAACAATGGAAACAATATCCTCGGATAAGGATTAAAAAAAAAAAAGAACAGAGATTCTCTTCTGTCTATATTTCTGTTTCTTTTACATGCCTCTGAATTATTTTATGTGTCTCCTCTGAATTCTGTGCACCATAGGCGCACAGGTAAATGCTTAACTGGCTATTGACTAACCAATCTAGAGTGATCCCACACTGAGAATTCAGTATCAGGTATGTTGTTCCTCTATTTATTTGACTTCTATGGCTCCATCAAAAACAAAATTAAAAAATTCCAAGAAGATAAAACCTTTATAACTGGAAGAGTCATAAATATCTTAAAGTGGATTTATTGGATCAATGTATTATTTTTCACAAGGATATCTACATCCTGCTGCTATTTTTCCTCAGGCACAATTTCTCTAAGGTATTTCATCATTAAGGCCTAATTTAACGTGAATTTCTACGAAGACACATAATGAACTGAATTTTTAAAAAGCGTTCATTGACAGTATGACCTGTTACCCAGGTACAGGCTATTCTTTTGAACAGAGTACAGGCAATTGGCTACAAATAATGGATACTGATTACCTTCTTGAGTGGAAGAAGCCTCTAGGTGTTGAAGTTTAAGGCCAGTGTCTAGCATTTGAGGCTTTGTATACAGAAATAAATAGCAAAGGACACAGACGCTGATGACAAAGGCAAGTAAAACGAGGGCAGCAATTCCCAGTCCAGTCAGAGCACCGATGCTGAGGAACACAGAGAAAACATTGTGAGTGTCGCACAGGCCGCTTTGCACAGGAACTAAAACAGAGGTTGAAATACTGTTAGTTCTTCCTTCAGTTATTCATAATTGAATTACCTTTTAGGATAAACAGAATATGATTGAAATCTACAGCTCCCCTTTCTCCACCATAAAATTCTTACTATACTTTCTCTATACATGTACATGTTAATATTGGTATAGACTACCTCATGAATCCATAGGATAGGGAAAAGCTCCCATGGTTCTCTAGAGATAGTTCAAAAACAACTCAAGCCTCTAGAAGCAAAGATCAGGTTCACCGATAAAAGAATATGGAAGTATTTACCTCCAGGAAAGTAGTGAACCAAATGTTTATCAGAAATGTAGGACTTTCCTGTTGGAGACACATATGGGAGATATTGTTTGCTAATATACAAAACCACAACTATCACAAAAGAGGGGGAGAAGGTTTACTTAAAGGAAAGCAATAGTTATGAAAGTTATATAAAGTTCCTGTTCAATCTGAGTGTTTCTTCTAAAGAGCATAACACCAATCACATCTAGCATTAGGGAAGAAAGCTTGTATTTCCTCTAAAGATAAAGTACATATCTGATATTGTTTGCTCCGCACTAAATTCGTAATAATCCCTTCTGATACAGTTCTCTATCAGGCCAATCGTTTGAAAATGAACATAATTTGCATAAACCTGTGGGCTTAATACTTTAAAATGGGAAATGGAGCTTGGAAAAAAGAATTATTTTGAAAGACTAACGCAAATATATGTACATTTATGAACCATATGTATGTGTGAGTGTGTAAATATGTAATTAGGTTTTAAGCTGCTCTAGGGCAGATACGTCTGTTGACTTCCCAAGTGTTTACAGAGTACTTGGCTTGTAGTAAATGGTCCATAAATGGAAGTAAATAGTAATTTACTGGTGATTGGCCCACGTGTAGTAATTAAAAAGTCATCATTATTGAAAGGTGATGATCTTTTCCTTCATTATCTTCCTGACTTGCCTGCAGGCTTCTGCTGTCTCCTAGAGGTCAGGGCCTTGACAAGTTTGACAAGTACCACAAGGGAGGGAAGGGAGAATTGGAGCAGCGATGCTAGGTGAGTCACTGATTTGGGAGTAAGGAGAACAGAATTAAAAGTAAGAGGCAAAGCTCATCCAACTTAACCTTGTTTTCAGGAGATAAAGCACTCCTGCAATTTAGAGATTGCCTCCTGAGCCACAGACATGGAGATTCTTGTACTAGGTTTATTAATGTCAGCCCACTTCCCCTGGCCCTGCACGCAGGTGAAGATTGGTAATTCTGTGGCTAGAGTCAGTATACAGTTATATGTTTACATTGGAGTTTGCCCTCACTTGGTGCACTAGTCTAAGGGGTAGACACCTGGCTTTGGCAACTCCTCTTTCTTGCTTGTTTGCACCAAAGCTGATTTTCTAGATTGTACAGGTCAGGGAGGGTTAGGACTCTACATAGACACATGAGAACATAATTCTCTTCATTAAAATTATCTGCTGCACAAGGCAGCTAGGAGGCTAGACATCTGGAAAGATTCCTGAAATGAGAATCCGGTTATTTAAAAAAAAATCTCCAAAGTAGAAACACAATTTAGTCAATTTAAAAGTAAAATTGTCAAGTTCATTAAACTCAACATACTTATAGTGGGCTTTTAATGTACATAATTTAAAAAGCCAATCCACATGATCTGAAGGAAAAACAAAAACAGAGCATGCTGCTTCTACTTTCTGTTTTTAAAGGAGGTCTTCACAATCCGGCACACTGTTCCAATGTCACAGTTCCACTTTACAGAAACGGTGCTTCATGCATGCGAACCTCTAGACAAAGATGAGGCCCCAGAAATACCCTAAAATACTTATTTCCACAAATACGTATTGAACTCGTGCATCACCCTGTGCAACAGGCGTTATTTTCCTGAAGAAGGGTACCAAACAGGTTAGGGATCTATAAAGAGGAGAAAAGGTGGGAGTGGGCCAGACCCAGAGCGGGGAGTTGGTCTTTCCTCACAGCGTCACCTGGCAGTCCCTGAGAGGGTCTGAAGCTGTCATCGTTAGTGGAGCAATTCTCCTGCTCAGCAACTTGACTCACCTGCAGCAGCAATACCTGTGCCTTTCTCCAGCACTGCAGAATCTCAGAACAAATGTTAGTGACTCTGGAATATTTTTCACAGTTGGACTCTTTTAAATTAGGGGTGGAAAGCAAAGAATGTGAGGGAAATGAAGCTCTAAATTTTTACCACCCCGGCGTGCTCTCAGAGCGCAATAACTACCAAGACCCCCAAGTTTAACATTGCCAACTGAGGCCATTTTTCTATTTCCCCGAAACTGAGGTGCTCTGTCCATTTTCTCAGTGCTGAACGGAGACCCCAGCAAGCTGTTCATTCCTTTGCGCTCTCATAAGCCTTAGGACAGGGTTTAGCCTCTGCTGCTTGTCACGTTGCAGTGAGTCAGGGATTCGAGAATCCCAGGTACTTTGGGGATTTAAATCAAATAACCGAGTTTGCCTTAAGATTTGCCAGTCTCTGTTGGAGGAGCCGCTACCATTATTAAAACTTCCAAAGACTAGGGCTGGGTTACTATGCTATTTTCCAAAAGGCCAAATCCTATGCCAGTGCAACAGAGATTGCTTCTCCAAACAATAAGATAAGCTGTTATTATTTTTTGAGATTTTGTCACACTCTGACACAATACAACTTTGCTAGTTGAACTCACTGGAAAGTGGGCATGTTTTTGGAGATTTTTGGAACTTGCAATACATAAAAAAATTATTTTAGTGCTTCAGGAAATAACGTTTAAAGTCATTTGCTGTAGACTTGGCATGCCTGCCAAATTTTGGATCATCCTAGGAGATTGGGAGAAATAATACAGGGTGGGGCAAACGTAGCCTTACAGCTGTTCATATGGAAAATAATATAGTAATTAATACATAATAATACAAGAATAAACTCTGTGTTTTGTGTACTCAGAACTATAAACATACTTTTAAAATAAAATAAAATTGTATTTTCATTTGTTCAGAATGCTTATCTTTAACTGAAATTAAAAATGATCTGTTTGCCAATAAAGTTAACATCCAAAACTGTTAAATTCAATATTAAGAATTTATAACAAAAATGGATATATATGTGGTTTTAGCTGATATTTGAATAGTAATATATACATGATGCAATGACATATATTCTTTTTATCAGCTCATACTCTCCCAATCAGACCTAGAATTACAAAAATAACAGTGTTATTGCATTTTTCCTATGTTCTAGCACAAGATTTTAGTTTCTAGAATTCATAAACTCAAAATTGTCCACACAGATTTAGTTTTTTTCTTGTTCATGCCTAAAGAGCTTCTTTTAAGCTCTTAGCATTCTCTAAGAAATGCTAAATTTTATCATCTTTCCTTTGAAATGTGAGAAAGATATGGAATCTCCTGAGTTATATATGCAGCTTATATATTCTTTAAAAGTTATTTTTAAAATATCATAAATTAGTCATGTACATATAACCGTAATACTCATCCTTGATATTCACATCTTTTTTTTTTTTTTAATCCTTGCCCGAGGATATGTTTTCACTGATTTTAGAGAAAGGAAGGGAGAGAGAGAGAGAGACATCAATGGGTTGCCTCCCACATGCTCCCTGACCAGGGATCAAACCTGCAAACCTGCAACCTTCTGGTGCACTGGACAGTGTTCCAAGCAACCCAGCCACCAGGCCAGGGCCACATCCTTCTTAAAGCAATATTCAAGTTTATTTGTGCTTTGTACGTTTACATTACTTTAGGGCCCATTTTTAATTTTCAGTAAAACTATATATGTGAAGATTTCTCAGCTATTTAATAAATGAAGCAGAACAGTCATTATGAAAATATAAACTATTATAGCTTTTTATCTTTAATTTTTATGCGTTTCCCGTCAACTATGTAATTTCCTGTTCTTTAGGGAAGTTGATACACTTTTATCCTTGCAACCCCAGCACTGCGGCTTCCTCAGCTTGGCATAATAGTGTATCCCAGGTTTTCTGAACACACAGTATTCACTGTGTTTTATCGATCGTGGGGCAGGAATCTGATAATGCTGGTGCTCATCGTTTCCAGTTATTTCAAATGCAGAATGACCTTATTAGCTGCTTCCAAGGAATCTTTTAGATTCTGCATCTCTTCTTCACTCATTTCAACGGCATGCGATTTGACTTCATTTTCTTTTACATCTACATGAAGGTTTAAAAGTGGCTGAAATGCTTTGGAAGTGCTGGGAATTTCCCCATGGAAAACGCTTTCGCTTCTAACATTATCTCCGGCAACCTGGAGTTAGTGCTGAAGGTTTGTGAATGGGTTTCAAGATTTGCAAGTGGCACCTCTCATCATTAGCTGTCTACATTTTTTTTTTGTAACCACTTGCATACTTTTGGTCAGCCACTGTGAAATAAACAGTCTTTCCCAAATGTTTTGTTTTCTTTGACAGCACAGCAATAATTCACTTGGAATGCTGTAGAATAGAACAGCATTTAGTGCTGTTGCGAGGCTAGCTTTTATGATTTCTATTCATCGAGTTGTTTTTTCCAGTTAAAAGATACCAGACTGAAAGGCACATAAAAAACTTTGGAGATGTGTTTTGCTTATATCTGCTCTCCCGATCCCTTCAAAATATATATACGTGTTATATATGTATAACCACCCATGTACATGTGCATATGAGTACTCTGTACATACATGTATCAAAAACAATACTCACTTAAAAAAAAGTGGCATTTGTAATGTAGCAATTTTGTCTGTAGAAAGTGGAAGCTTTAACTGCCAATCAAAATCCTGTAGCTGTGCAGAGGAAGTATCAACTATTCCTTCTAACAGAGCCTGCTTTATTCCATCTTTCATAGTTTTCAAGCATTTCATGATAGCTTTCTTATGAAATGAATTCAACTGAGCCAATTGCTGAGATATCTCTTTATCAGATAAACTTTTACCAAATACAGCTTTTTTTTTTTTTGCTACGCTGAGATTAAAATGATTATAAACTATGCCTAACTAGCTGCCGAGATTTACATGCAGCTCTACTTCTGTTTCCTAAAGGAAGTTAGTAAGTGTGTAGCAGTAATGGGACACATTTTCTACAGAAGTTGCAGATGCTTAGACACAGAACCCAGTGGCATGACGTGAAGCTGGATACCGTGAACACCGGTAGCCGATGGGCATCGGAACAGAATGCGGACAAAGTTGCTCAGGACGTCGCTGTGAGAGGCTGCACAGGCCAATGCTCAGCCCTAAAACTCAGCGGTCCTGCTGGCCAGATGATACAAAAGATAAGGGATAGTCATCTGGAGCCTCTCTGGGCTCTCACCAGCTACGGCTTTGAAAAAATTGGTAATATATTCTAGAACATGCTTCCATTCCGTGGAATCCCAAACACTCTGATAATCCTGATAGAGAGGATTACATTTGGCCACAAATGCCCTCGATTATTTTGTGAAGCTGTGGGTGGGCCCAGCTGTGCTTCAAGCTTCTGCAGCCAAGGGCAGCAAGGGCTCCATCTTCCAGCTCCATCCCTGGGCTGTAAACCCACTTTTGCCCCATCCTATATTCTTCCTCCTAGTAGCAGTCTTCCTCCCCCCTCCCCACTCCGCCCCTCTCCTCTCCTCTCCCCCTCT